TACTGAGTTCAATATTGTATAACTGTATTAATTCAACTGTGAACCTAAAAATTTACAGCCACTTTTGAAAGTGACGTATCCTTGCTCTTGAAATTGTTACTGAATATGTTAAAGCTGTAATGAAATGTTCCTTCTAATCATGTGGTTATTAAATTAAAAAAGAAGAAAGAAATAGCTAGGCGTGATGGTGCACACCTTTAATTTCACCATTCAGGGGGCATTGGCAGGTAGAGCTCTGTGAATTCAAGGCCACCAGCCTACCCTACATAGCAAGTGCCAGGCCAGGCTTATCTCATTAAAAAAAAAAAAAAAAAAGTTGGCGATATGAGACCTGCCTCAAAAAACAAACTAAAAATATTTAACTCTCAATTAAATTTTACACTTTCCTTTATATTACAATTAAAGAGGATTTGTATTTCAAAAGGAAACCTTGCCCTAGAATATGTTGAAATACAGTTTCTTAGTTTTTCCTTTAAAAAAGAATCATAAAATGATTGTAGCCATTGAAAAAAATAATAAAGCAGATGATAAACACAGGGAGGGTTTAAAATGCCTCCTGGATTCTACATTCAAGAGATGATGCCTTAGGAAGCTAGAGAGACTGCTCATCAATCAAGAGGCTTCTTTCTCTTGCATAGGACCAGAGTTCAGCTCCCAGTACCCACATCAGACTCACAACCATGTCAGGCTCCCAACCTACTGTAACTCTAATTCTGAGGGATCTAATGCCCTCTTCTGACTACCAAGGGCACCTGCATACACAGGGCATATACACAGAGACACAAATAAAAATAAATCTCTTTTTTTTTTAGAGAGAGGGAGGGAAGGAGGGAAGGGGGAAGATGGGAAGGATGGAAGGAGGGAGGGATGGAGAGAGAGAGGAGAGAGAGAGAGAGAGAGAGAGAGAGAGACTGACTGACTGACTGGTTTAATTGCCCACTACAGGGCTTAGGTTTAGGTATATTTTGTGCTTTCTCCAAGGTTTCACAAGGAATGTAAAGGTCAGACTCCAGTATGTAAGTGCCTCATGTACATATCTAGCAGACTGGTTCTCACTTTATATTGCACCATGACTGCTTATGCATACAACGCTCCCTGTGGATGGTGCTATGGTTTGAATGTGAAATGCTCCCCTCCCCCCCCCACACACACACAGATTCCTGTGTCTACAAGCTGCTAGCCCTCTTTTGAAAGGTTGTGGAATCTTCTGGATATGGTGCCTAGCTGGCAGAAGTATGGCCCCAGGGCCATAGGAGTAGGGCTTATGGGTTATAACGTGACTGACTCCATGAGAGTCTCTGTTTCCCAATTCACTAAGGTGTTATACTTCAAGCTCCCACCACCAGAAACGGGGCCCTAGTCACCAAGCCTTCCCCACCATGAAACTGTGAACCAAAATAAATGCCCTCTCCTTCAGTTGTTTCTCACCAGGTATTTGGTCACAGTGATGAGAGATGTAATTAATACAGGTGAGTAAGCTTATATAGGGAAGGGAGTTGAATCTCATTATCAGAGCCCTGACATGGGCACAAAGCTGTTAAAACTCCAAGTCCCTGCCATTAACCCGGCTCCTTCTGAGCAACCAACCACCATGAAGAGAAGATAGAAAAGAACCCCAAAGAGCCTTAGCAAAGGGGGGCCAGGCTGTATTCTCTGAGATGTCAACAAGGAATTGCACCTGATCTAAGGTCTGCCCATCTCTAGGGCCACCAATAAGGAGGATGACTCAAAAGCTCAGTTCAGCTCAAGCATTCTGTGAGCGCCTAGCAGCAGATACGACCTTTTCACTAAAGGAGTTTAAATGTGAGATCAACAGAACACTGAGCAGAAGCCAAAAGACACCCAGAGGAAAACAGAGAGGAGCTGAATTACCTTAGCGGCTAAGTCTGTTAGCAGGGACGACAAGCAGATGCCTGCTGCTGAGGGGGCAGCAAGATAACAGTCCCAGAACTGCATCCTGAATGACCTTCCAGTTCCTGAACTTCAATCCAGTTTTCGTGAGGCTGGCTGGGTGGCCTTTCCGGAAGGCTTTTGGGAGACACGTGGCTGAGTGGTAGAGATTCCGGTTAGCCTTCCTTACACAGTTAGCTCAGTGTTATCTGTTCCCTGGAGCTCCTCAAAGTCTGATCATCACAAACCTCAACGTCTAACATGTTCTCTGGCACACTGCAGGTGTTTGGAGGGCTTGACCACGCCCTCCCCCAGTGAAAAGCCTTAAAATGAAAAATTATTTATGATAAAAAACACCAGGAAGAGTCAACTTCACATTCCCAAACCATGTAAACTTGGAAATCAATATATTAAGCTGCTCTCCTTCATCCAGTTCCCAAGTCCATGCACACGGCTACCATGCATCTATCAGAAACAAAAGCATCATTTTCTGGCATCAAGTGCATTCTGATTTCAGGTGAAGTATGTTTGGAGGTCTCGATTTGCACTTGGCTTAATCTTAAGTCACAGTAACGTTAGTAAGAACAATTTTCCGCCCACACTAACTTCACTGACAAACCTCCAAAGTAGCTGATCGTTGACTTTGAATAAGTGTAATAATACGTGCTCTTCCCCTCACATTGCCACACATTCCCCCTCATCCATTGTCTGTATCAGCTACTTCAAGAACACATATTCCCCAACAATGGGATGAGTCATAAAATAAGAGGTACATGGATGTAAGTCGAGCCTGTTTATGTGTTCCCTGTTCCCAGCTAATAAAATAAAGGTGATCCCACTGAATTTAGGTCCAGTAAACAGGTTTTGCTTAGCAGAGATGGACTACTTAGTGCATTTCAAAGGTACAGCGAATTCCATGCCCATGTGAGTGGAACGTATTTATGGTTCTAGCAGTGTGCAGGGTGTGTAAGGACTTGCCCTCCTCTTGTCCTCTACAAAGAAAGCTCCTGGCTGCTTCTGATGTCGAACGAACCCACAGAATGAGTGCTGAAAAGGTCTCACCTCTCCCATTCACCGAGCTCTGGAAGGAGGACTAGGTCCCTCTCACTGGAGACTGCACCAACCGGTGGGGCGCTTGTTTAGACTCCCCAGATGCATTCGCAAAAGTCTGGGTAAAAGCAGGCTTTGCCCTACCTCCCCTGACCTCTTCCTGACCGAGTGATCTTACGCCTCTGGAACCGGGATTTTGAATGTATGTGCCTATCCCACGTCTGGTATTCTATTACAACAGCATGAAAATGGAGCTAGGGCTGAGGAGCCGGCCAGCCTCAGAAGCCTCTTCATTGCCTGCCATGTAATACATGATATGCAAAGCCTCTGACTTCAGCCAGCAGATATTTGGAGACCGTGTTGGCCCTAGCATGGGGACTCAACTAATGGTGTTTAGGTCATTAAGCGAATCAGAGAAGCCCCTGGAGGGCACGTCACACAGTGAGAGCAGTATAAATGCAACCCCACTCGCAGCGTCCCCCTGGCAAATACTTGGCCTCCCTCCCTGGGCCGCTCCACGTCTCTCCTGCTCAGTGTTTGAAGAACTTCAGCAGGCAGCTCCTCTTCTCTGCCCTGCAGAAAAGGAGAGGACGCCTCACCCGCCGAGGAACGAACGTCTTCGACAGGCTCGAGGAAAAGCCCGGGGTTAGCCCTCCACCCCGCAGAGCGCCCTCGCTCCAGCACGGGACGCCACCGACAAGTTCCGATTGCCGCCTTTGGCTGCTCTGAGCCTAGCTGCGCGCGCGTTTCCGTGGATCTACCCAGCTGGGAGAAGGCGCGAGCCCGGCAGCGTCTCCGCACGCTCTGCGCTCTCCCTGCACCCCCGGGAGGGGCGCCTCGCGTCACCCACTCGCACCCCTCGCCCGCGCCTCCGGAGCTCCGGCGCCTCCTCGCAGCTTGAATCCCTCCCCCACCGCGCGGCCGCGGCAGACTGTGGACCCCTCCCCTCCCTGGGCCCCGCGCCTCCCCTCCCCCACCCGGCCCCCCGGCCCGGGATCTCCAGGACCAGCCTGCGCTCCTGGCGCCCTCATGTCTTCAAGGGACTGCCCGCGTGGGTTGACGTGGTGCCTCGTTCGGATCTCCAGGCAAGACCTCATCTCCTGCAGCAGCATCACACAGGCTCGTCTCCTACTCCCAGCCACCGCGCCCGGAAGAGGTGCAGAGTGAGGCCGCCGCCTCTGAGCCACCCGCAGCGTCCCAGCCCAGTGCCGCCCCAGCCCGGAGCTTGGCGCCCGCAGCCGTGTCACCCCTCTCTCAAGGCAGGGGCGGCTGCTCAGACTTCGGCTTCTTGGGGTCCCCGAGGCCATTGGGGGAGGTGTTGGCAGCCCTCCTCCTGCTCACCGCGGCGGCGGCTGGAACCTTGGCCGCCGCCTCCAGCGCGCCCTTGCTGCCCCGCGCGACCCCTGGATTGCGAACTCTTGCCCCCGACCTTCTGGGCGGGGCTCTGAGCTCCTACCCTCGGTCCGGATGGGTCTCCTGGCTGGGACTCGGGCCACTTGGAGTTAATGTCCAACTGGGGGTCTACGGAGACCGGATCCGAGGTAAGAGGGGAAACCGGTGGGGAAGGGACCCGTCGAGAGGTGGCTGCGTCGCGGGAGGGCGCGGCTGGCTGCAAGGCGCCCGGGGGCAGAAGGGAACTAGAGAGGGCGACGAAAGTGCCCAGTAGAAAGACTAGACGAAGCAGAGGCTCCCAGAGGATGGAAAAGAGAGAGAAGTTGAACGGGAGGGAGGCTAGTCTTGGTTCTTCCACGTGGGCAAAGATCTGTGGAGCCGCTGGTGCCCTTGAACCCTGAAAAACTGGAGAGGGGCAACCTCCCCACAATTTGGCAGGGCGCTTCTGTGTCAGGTCCTGGAACCCTGCGGAACTTGGGTATCTTGGAACCCACCGCCGCCGGTCTTTTCCAGAAGTGCGACTGAAGCGTTATTACCCGCGTTGAGAGTGTCACAGTTAAGCTTGTTTTGCTCTGTTCTGAGAGAAAGCTAAGCCCGGAGAGGGACGGCTGCAAAGGTGCTGTGAACCTAAAAATAGAGGGCTCGTCTCCTCCAGGGAGGTCTTGCAAAGCTACATTCCGAACCTTTTGCCTGAACTTTCCTAATGGAAAGAGACTCCTTACAGCCTCTTGGCCTCAGGTCAGCGTCTCAAAAGACACTGGGGACACCCCAAGCTTTCCCCTAGGCCTTAAAGGTGATTGTTTTAATGACCTATTTTCTCCCACACCCAGTGTCGCTTCCCCCAGGAACACCCACCACTGGGGGTCGCGGGGGGGGGGCGACTTCTGAATGAGTTGGTTTCCAGCCCTCTCCAGGGAAAAGGAACCCATGGGGCCGGAAGAGACTTTCTCGGGTTCCCCGCTGGCGCTTCGCCTTCAGCAAAATCTGCCTGCAGGACTGCAGGGCGGATGAGCGCACCCTGGGAGGGTTGTCCAGCTCGAGGTTCACCTCGTTTGTGCTCAACAGGAGGAGATAAAATCAACTTCTGGGAATTTGTTAGAGAGCGCTAGATTTACCGTTCCTTCGAATTTTGAATTCCTATTTGCGTTTCAAGGAAGAGATGCAACTTACACCCATATGCGTGGAAGTTGCATTTCCCCCCACGAAGCCTTCAAAGAGGGATCCTCTGTTTCTTTCTTGCCCAGACTTCGGTTTCGCTGAGTTTCGTGGGGAGTTGTTTGTTTGTTTGTTTTTCAACAAATGACAAGTGTCCAGGAAGCCTGCTGCGCCCCTAGCCCACTCCTGGAATCCAACCTTGGGCCCTCCAACAAATGAACCTTCTCTGGGCTTGCTTGCCCAAGCACCCCGCATTTTTTTCCTTTCCCCATCTTGGACTGGTCAGTTATGGGGGAGTGCTAAGAGAATATGTCCTCCATCAGTCAAGGACACCGAGCACAGAGGAGAAAAGCAACAGACCTGCCCCGTCCCCAGAGGAAACCCCGGAGTTTATAGAGTTTATAGCGAATTCCTCTTCCGGCTCCACCACATCTTGAAAGCAAAGCCCAAACAAACTTCCCAGGCTGCCAGCACAATAAGGTGCGGGGCGGGGGGCGTACTGGCGGCGGGAGGGGTCGCCAGATGCAACGCTGCCTCTGTAGCAGAGGATCAGGGTGTCTCAAAGCAGGTTGCCAAGAAACCACCTCAGGTGAAATAAGAGGGAAAGCATGAATAGAACGTGGGAGTGGAGCCAGGATGCCCATAAGGACACCCATGGGTCCCTAGCTAGGTTGGGTTTGGGGAAGGTGGTAGTCTAGACACAGTGATTCTTCTCCGGGTCATACTTAAAATGACAACCCAGACTACCCGCCGTGTGAGCATTTCTGGACCGATCAGCTTCTAGTGCCCCCTGGTGACGGGAACTCAGAACCGAAGAGCGGCGGTTTCACAGTCACTACTCCAGCTTTCCTGGGCATCCTTTGCGCCCCAGTCCTGGGACCCACCAGGTGCGGCTGCGCGTGGCGCCCTCCTTTTGCCCTTCAGGGATGCGTTGTTCCAAGATCCAGAGGGAGCCCGCTTGCCAGGCATGGGCGAGAAAGAGGGGCGCGCTCCTGCGGGTGTTAGGCACGTGTGGCGGAGGCCCAGCGTTGCGGGGTCAGGTCTGGAGAAGTGTTTTGAGGAAAGCGCTAAAGAGACTAGCCCAGATGGCAGAGCCTCCTAGGAGACCACGGTGTGCACCGCGCCCGCAGACCCGCGCCCCATCTTTCCCCCTGGGGGACACAAAAACCACGAACTAAAAAGCGCTCGGAGTGGAGCCGGCCCCAGGGCTCTAGCAGCGAAGGAGGCGTTCCCCCCTCCCCAGGGAGGAAGAAAGCGCCTTCGGGGCGCCCGAGGCACCCAACCTAGGATGGGATGGCTAGCCTCCTCTAGCGAGGCGGGGAGTGAGTGTTCTAGTGTTTTCCTCCTTTGTCAGCTTTGCCACAGTTCTAATCCAGGCTCTCCACGTCCAATTTAAAAAGCCCTCCGTCGGCCAAACGGGGAAAAAGGAAAAACCCTCTTAATGCGGAAGGGAAATCTGGTGCCCTCTGCCGCTTCCTGCTGGCAGGCATCGGGATTTGTGATGGAGCATTAACCCCGCGCCTCCCTGCTGCTCTGGGTCGCCAGCCATTTCGCACGCACCCGGGAGCTGGCAGAGCTGGCACGGCGGGGGGGGGGGGTCCGGGGGGGGGGGGGGGGGTGCGACGGGAGGCCTCGCCTTCCCGGTTTCCTGCTAGCGCAGCGCCTCGCTGGCACCCGTTTTGCACCGCCTGGGAGTTTGGGGGGGCCTACGCACCGGGCGGGACCCAAAGGCGTCGCTTTTTCGCGGGTTTGCAACCAGCGGGCATAGCCTGGGACTCAGCTGCCTGGTCGTGGTCCCTACATACAATCTCAGAACCCAACAGCTGCAGAGACTGCAGACGCCCAAGGGATGGAAAATGCATTCTCCTCCGCAGCCGTGGGAGGTGGCGGCCGAATTAAACGCTTTCTTGGTGGCCCTAACTAGCGACCTGGAGTGGAATTCTGGATTGAAATTGGGAGTGGGGGCGAAGGGATGTACTCTGGAAAGGAGGGAGGAGAGGCAGGGGACTAGTAAGAAAGGTGCTGGGGGTGGTATTTACCTGGAAACTATGTTGTACTCCCCCATAGAAAAAGTCAGGGCTTTCTTAGAAATCTGTTTTATGAACTGCATGAACCTCCTAATTTGAGAGTCCCTGGGATTAGTCCCCGGGATTCTAGAACACTGAGATTCCTAAGAGACCGGATAACACCGTGCCCCTAAGATGCCTTGGTCCTCCCCATCTCTTTGGGTGGGGCTTAGTCCTAAGTTTAGAGTGCTTTTTTTCTCGTTCACTTCAGACTGCGTGGCCCACCTTTCTAGGGATGTGAGACCAGAAGAGTCAAAAGGACTCCTTTGCGGGGAAGAGCTAACACTACTCCCCCCGCCCTAGGCCTTCCCATAGTCCTTCAGGCGCCCCAGGCCTCCAACAGCATCCGGGATCCAGTACTCTGGTCCTGGTGTGAATTGGGGCACCAGAAGCTAGCAGCTCTTCTGCGAGGGAAGATTAGGGCCAGAATTTCAAAAAACTGCAAAAGATCATTTCGGGTATACCACGGAAGATTAACGTTCTCAAGTTAATGCAATCCCAGCCTAAGAACAACGGTAAAATACGTATTGGGCGCTTACTGCACCTTTTCATGAATTCAAACTCATAGCCTTAAGAGGTGGAACTGTCCTTTTAAGCCCAGTCGAAGTTAAGTAACATAACCCAGATACTTTCATACAGGCCAAAGTCTGCAAGACTCTATTAACTTGTTCTGGACATGAAATGCTTATTTAAGTGAGACGATTGAAGCGTAGGTGGTGGGCAGGGCGAGCTGTTCCACGGAGCCTGTCCCCCCCACCCCCACCCCACCCTCGCCCGGCTTGGGGGAGGGTCACAACCTGGGGCAGAGGGGTGAGCTTGATTTTATCCCCAAAGAGAAAGGCCTGTTGCTTGCTGGATCAAGGACGGGCTTCCCAGGGCCCATCTATGGGAGCTGCCAGGCGCGGAGCGAAAGTCTCTGACCGCATCCAGGCGCAGCTGCAGGATAGGGACTCTCAGGTCAACCCCGAGGGAACACCGGGTTTGCCCACCGTACACCCGGCAAGCTGGGAATCGCCCCGAGGCGGTGCTGGGAAGTTTACTCCGCCGGAGCAGAGGGCCTTGCTCCCAAATCTGACCCCTGGGGCGGGGAGCTAGTGGGTGGGAGGGGTCAGCAGCTGCCCCGGCCGGAGAGCCGACTGCACCTGGGGTGCACCGCGGAGAGGGAGCAGCGAGCCAGGGACTTAGGGAGAAGTGGGGGTTGCTCAGACATCCTCAGGTCTGCAGCAGTGCGGGAAGAGCGGAGACAAGTTTAGGGCAGGGCTGGGGGACCCGCGGGGATGCGCCTCTACGGGAACGCCGCGGCCCAGGGCAGCCGAGCCTAACTTGCCTGGTGCGGTTCTCTCCCCCGCCGCCCGCCCGCGCAGGTGCCGCCGCCGGACGGGACTCTAAGATGAAGTTATGGGATGTCGTGGCTGTCTACTTGGTGCTGCTCCACACGGCGTCCGCCTTCCCGCTGCCCGCCGGTAAGAGGCTTCCCGAGGCGTCCGCCGAAGACCGCTCCCTCGTCCGCCGCCACCCGCCCTTCGCGCTGACCAGTGACTGTAAGAACCGTTCCCTCCCCCGGGGCACCGCTGGCCGACCCCAGGGCAGCCCACCCGCCGCACGCACGCAGCCACCCCGGGCCAGCCGCGACGGCTGTGTGCCTGCCCACCCGCGGGCAGTGCAGGGAGGGCTCTGAGGCCGGTAGGGATGCGCGGCCGCCCGCTGCTGCCCAAAGGCCCCCAAGGTGCCTTCCTTGTGAGTGACACAGAGGATCTTAAAATGTATCCCTTTATCATTCATATGAGCAGAAACTTCTACCATCATCACCATCGTCACAGGGACACACACAGATTGTCCCCTTTTTCTTCTCTCCCCCTCTATGAACACACCCCTTTTTTCTAAGGCCCTGTTTTAAAGTGTCTGACTGCTAAATTCTAAAAGCTTTAGCTCTTTCATCCTAAACCTCGCCTTCAAGGAGAGAGGCTGAGTTCTCACGAAAACAAACCAGAGGGAGGAAACACAGAAGGGCCTACATTTCCAGAGCATCTGCATAGTGTCAGATCTGTTCAGTAAAGTTCCCTTCTAGAAAGACTTCAGAGCTAAGAGAGCAGGTTGGGCCGAGGAAGCAGCTATGCAGTTCAGAATGCACCTGACACTGCTGACTAATAAGGATACTCTTATTGAGAAAGCAAGTCTGATTTACTGCTCAAAAGTTCTAGAAGCAAACCAGTTTGGTACAACCTGCCTTCCACTGGTCAGAGGTCCAGCTGTTGCATAAAGCAAGGTTTGCTAGATTACAGGTTATAGAGACTAATGGGGGGGGGCAAAGGTAGTAAGACACAGGTTGATACAATCTCAAAACACTCATTTCCAACACTACCACCCCCACCAGCCCCATCACTAGCTATTTTGCACTTGAACTGTGCAGTGGTCATGACCACTGGCAGAAGTCAGCCACTTGCTTCAAGTCCCCCAAACTCTGTGACCTTGAACTAGGGAACAACCATGAAATGTGATGTGCTTGTTTTATGCTTAACTTCAGCAACAAAATCAGCTTCTTGTGCAAATTCCAAGAAAGAAAGTACGTCTTTATAAGGATTTCTAGAGTGATTTGGGTTAGAAAACATAGTTGACCCTTCGAAATTCAACTGTGTGTTCCAAGACTTTCCATCGAGTCACTGCATAAACTTATCTTTAAAGACTTGCATTTCAGTAACAAATTTAGTGTGTCTGTAAGTATTTCTCCAGTGGCAAATGCCCTCTGCTGTTGTCTTCATTCATCCATTCCAACAGGGCAGGCCAGAGGGACGAACAGCACAGTATGTAATCCAGGGAGAAAAATGACTGCTTGATTACAAGCTGATTAACTGATGGAGGCCTAATTGCATGTTAGTTTCCCGTCTACCTGAGCTTGCTAAAGACTGCTTCCTGGTTGTGACTGAGTTTTCAGTTAACTCTTACAAGTTACTGACTTTGGAACTCAGTGAACAGTTTACAACTGTACACAAGAAGGAGGCCTTTTTTTCTCCAAAGTGCCTGTGGCTACAAGGTTTGCCCCTTGGCCTCTGTGCTTCTGTTCTTACCCATCCTTGGAGAAGAGACTCATAAAGAGACTGGAGTCCTCTGGGAGCTCTAAAGGCTACTGACATTGGATCTCACTCCAGGAGATTCTGATTTAATTGGTTTGGGGTATAGCCAGAGCATCTAGACTTTCAGATGTTCCCCAGGTGTGTCTAATATGCACTCAGGGTATCACCAGGGCTTGGTAATACCCTAAGAAAACCTGTGGCTTCTGTGGATTAACCACCTACCAACCAAGCAAAACAGCGCCGAATCCCTTTGATTGAGTGAAGCCCAGAGTGATGTGAGGGAGGAAGATTACTTTCCCTTCCTCAAACTGATACTAAATCATCCTTGGACAAAATTCTGACTACTGATTTCATTCAAGGCAGCAGAACACACCCAATGCTGCTTTGTCTATGGGAAGACTCAGTAGAGCCTAGACTGACAGAGCTATTTCCCAAAGAGAAACTGAGCTGCATTCTAAGCCAACTGACTTCTTTCCAGGTATGTTCAATTCAGTAGCAAGCTGTCAGTGTAGAGAAGGCAAAATAGTGATAGTGTGCAGACTTTAAATATTCAACCAGTGTCGTAGAACTGACATTTATATCCTGCACTGTACATGGTACAACTGGCTAAGTCTGGTGTAGAAAAACATTAAGTCATTGCATTTCATTTGAAAATAAAAAGTGTCATAAATTCTGGTCCCTCTAGTTTCCTTTAGATGCTTGGGACTTAGTGATTAAGCAAAAGAACTTTTGTCACACTAACAGTCACTGTGAGCTTTTTACAGGAGGACTGGGACTATATGCATTGCACACACTCACCCAGGAGACTGCATGTGTCCTACTGGTTCTGATACATACGAAACATCTCCAATTCCAACCCTACATAGTATGAACTAAGCAAATAGAATTCATAATTGACTAGCTTGCTTGCCTAAAGATCAGTTCTAAAGTAAATGGTCCATAGGTATTTTTAACTTGTCTAAACTCAAAGACTGTGATTTGCCCTTGTGGGCATCCAAGACTAGTCGTCTCCTTAGCTACCCTTGACATGAAACACACAGCATTTTAAAACAGAAAGGAAACCTTTCTGGTTCTGAGATCTGAAAAGGTAAAGCAACTTGTCCCAGGTATCAGAGATCCATGCAAGAGACAGGCCTACAAGCCAGGACTAGTGTTTACTCAAACCACTGAAATACACTTTGTATGGAAGGGAGAAGCTCTGTGGAATTTGAGGGGTGTTTTTCAACTAATGACTAAAACCTATTGTACAAGATTCTCAGAATATATCGAAGGTTAGTTCACTGCAGTCTTATTTCACAGCTCAACTGTAAATGTTTAACAACTAAAAGCATATAATACATTTAGCTTTAAAATTTTGCAATCTGCCGAGCACCTTTACTCCCAGCACTTGGGAGGCAGAGGCAGGCATATCTCTGTGAGTCAGAGTCCAGCCTGATCTACATAGCAAGTTCCAGGCCAGCTGGGGCTACAGGGAGTCCTTGTCTCAAAGAGACAAAAAAAAAACTATTGCAATATAAGTGTATATATTCATTCATCAAATAATGTTTCCCTGTTCATGCCCAGCACCAACCTGAGTGCTGCAACTGTCCTGGTACACCTAACACAGAGACAAACCTGCCCTTGTGGAACATGCCTGTCATGAATGTTCATATTTGGTACACAAGAAAAGTTAAACATGAAGGAAACTTGGACTAGTACCATGAACTTAACTTGATTGTAAACCAATTGGGAGATGGTATTTATTAAATTGTTGGGATGGGGATGTAGACCAATTAATAGAGTGCCACCAAGAAGCCTTGGGTTTAATCCCTAGCACCACATAAAATTGAACACGGTGGCACAGGCCTGTTATCCCAGTAGCACTTAGGATGTAGGGGCAGGAGGATCAGAAATTCATCCTCAGCTATACAGTGAGTTAAAGGCCACCCTGGAGTATGAAACTGCCTCAAAAGAAGAACATTGTAACAATAGGTAATTCCCAATTTACTATTATACAATAAGACTACAGCCTACCTGCTAGCTAGCAGGACATGAGATTATCTATAGAAATAATCTTTTACATCAAACCATCAACTTCTCAGTTGCTAGCCCACTAAAAATCCTATGTAAACCATAACAGAATTGATCTGTGACTCACAAGGTTACCAGGTGTGAGTCTCTGCCCTGGGTGCCACATCCCATAATCTACAGGAGATCAGAAAGCAAGAAATCAGGGCCTTCAATGAAAGAACACAAGTTAGCATTCAGATCAGATGAGAGTTGAATGAATGTTCGTATCCCAGCCTTACTGTGTAAGCAGTTGTGGGTTAGCATCTCCTATACCTCTGTGTAGTCATCTGTAAATAGGGATAATGTAAACCTGATAGGATGCTAAAAGAGATACTGCTCTGGAATGTCTGTGGTCCAGAAATAGATGATGGTCATTTACCGCCCTCCTACTTTCCAGCAGCCCCTTTCCAGAAATCCAGTGAACTCCCTCTGCCACAGTTTCTGCCAGTACACCATTCTAAATGGTGGAATTTCAATACAAATAGTGAGGCAAATGTGGGCCTTAGGGGGAAGCTATTTGAGGCCCCACAGTTGGTTAGTCCGTATGTAGGCAAGCCAGCCTTGCCTGAGAGCCTTCCCTTGAGTCTGCTCCCTGGCTCTTCCCTGTTGCTGGAATTTTTCCCTCCAGACTCCCATGGTCACATGAGGCAGACTTTCTTCTCCCATGGGAAGATGGTAAGGGGCGATATAACCTCCAGTGGAAGAGATAAGAGAGAGTGAGTTGGAGGCCATCTGTAAATAGAGAAAGCATTTCTAGTTTAATCCTCACTAGACGTTTAATTTAAAATGTTTCATAAATTCAGTCAAAAATAACCTTAGAAAACTTAAAAGATCAGCTTACCACTGTATGGTAGAGAAAGCTTATAGTATTGAATAGATACATGTGTATGTCCAAATCTAGTTTTATAAGACATGGAATTCTAAATAAGTAAGTACCACTCCTCATTGCTTCAGACTGTATAGAGGAACATATACTATAAGAAAGTCACTGTGTAAGTGGAAATGGGCCCTGCCTGCCATTGGGAAAGGGGCTCTTCACATTAAAATTCTGTGAGCCAGGCTCTTTTAGGAGACTTTGATATCTTACTTGAGATTTGAGACCAGCATCTTCTCCTCTGGCCCTAGTCTCCTGATGAATTCTGTCCAGGAAAATGCATTTAGAATTGACCAGCCTTGGGACATTGCACTGGTCTAGCAGCCTAGGCCTTGTGCTCAAAATTGTTGATTTTAGCCAACATGAAAGTGAAAAGTTTCTGGTATTTTCTCCGAATGTACATGTGGCCTTTTTAAAATCAGTACTCATGGCTTTCACTTAGTGAAAATAAGAACTATGTAATTAATCGTTTGTGCTCAATATTATATTAAATGCACTTTGTGTGCCAGGCATGGACAGGATCCAAAAGGCAAAATCAATCTAGTTA